TACCGGGACCCGGGGCTGGTACCGGGGCACGGGGCTGGTTCCGGGACACGGGGCTGGTACCGGGACACAGGACACGGCCCCGTTCCCGGGAGCTGCCGAGCGGTTCCCCGAGCGGGGCCGCGCTCACACCCGAGGGGAACACACAACAAAAAGCTCCGGCCCATCTTCACCGCTGCCCGTCCTGACTCCGTGGTGGGACCGGGCTGTGGAGCTGCTGGTCCCCAGAAATGCTCTGCTCTGCACCACAGCCCTGACCCAGGTCTCTTCGGTGTTTATGTTCATTTTTGGTGAGTCAGGGGAACACAGATCACACACTGATGAACACACATCACACCCTCTCGGTGGCTGGGACTGAGCGGTACAATGGGGGATCTTTGTGCATCCCACAGAGAACAACTTGCCCAACTCCCTCTGCTGGTCCCTTCCCTGGGGCTTCAAGTAAAGCCAGAACTTGGGGATTCTCTTCCCGTGATCTCTCAGTTTAGATTTTCAGAACTCTCAATCACTGTCCAGTTCCAGCTCCTGACATGTCTGGCAGACTGTCCAGAGACAGCATCTCTGCTCAGGGCTTTTATTAACCCCACGAATCAAACAGCTTATAATGAACTTCTGCTGTTCTAAACATCAGATTTTATTGCTTTGCATTTGCTGCTTTACTGTTTTTTCTTACCTAGTGGCAGAAACATGAAATACTTCAAAGTCCTGCCTACCCAATAATTTCCAAGGAAATGTGCACAACCTCCTAATGACACCAATATCTGCACAAGAAGCTGAAGAGAACACACTCTGTGCCACCAGTGCTTTCTTAAACAGCAGTAACTTTATTGCCCACAGAGAATGCAAACATTTTCCACACTTGCTGCAATTCAGCAAGTTACCTACTTAACAAGGTTCACAAAAACTATTTATTTCAGAAGTACCCTATTGTTCTTTGAGCATATTCTCATTTAAAGGTGTTTATTATTGCTCAAATCTACAGTCTGGTTGTGATTGGCCACTCAAGTCATGAGATATGCAGAATTGAAGATGATACAGGACTTTCAGGAATTCATTTTTAATTAGAAAATGGACCTGCTTGTAGGATGGAAAACAATCCAAGAGAACAGGATTTGAATTTCTGAGTCCAGACTTTTCTTTGGGCACATCAGGATTAACTTTCAAGCCAAACGGAATTATCAATAGAAAAAAAAATACTGTACATTGATTTTTGAGAAGTAACATCTCAGCACAGATTAAATGTTCACAGTAAGGATGCTGTAGTGTCTTCTAAAAAACAAAACAGGAAAAATGTCATTGGTATTACACCAAAGAAAAGCTCTGAAGGTAAAAAAGAAAAAGGAAAACATCTCTTCTAGTCCAACACAATTACTCCAAACAGTGTATTATTGACTGGAGATTTCTCACTGTTTCTCCCCCAGAAGGGGGATCTCCTAATTTCTCTCCCACAAGAGCAAATGTCCTTTCTTCTAGAACCAGCTCCTTACATCTAATACATTTTTTTCAAAGAAAAGGAGGAAAAAAGGTATAGCCAGGGCTTGAACTTGCCTCTATAAAGCTTTTCCTATGAAAGCAAGAGCCAGGAGACCTGACTAGGATCTTTCCCAAACGAACACTCTGACTTTACCTCTGGAGAGAAGGCAGCTGCACAAGGGTTACATTTCAGTTCCTTGCAATTTCCCCCCCTCACATCCTGTCTAAAAAAGGAATCTGAATGTAGATACAACAGTAAACCACACACATAGGTAAAGAGAAAGTTTTGCTGTTGTCAAGTCAGTCCAGCAAGAAAATCAGAGAGACAACTTAATGCCTGGGATTATGTGAATCAAGGGTAAGACTTGCATCCTGTTTGGGTCTTGGCATTCGTGGGGAAACTAACACTGTTGTGTATGGATTTAATACACTAGAAGCCACATAGAAAAGTAACCAAGAAATGATTTAGTGGGTATTCTCAAGGGAGATGTTTAGCAGCACAAAACCAGAGGGACCCTCCTTCCCTTGTGCACTATAAAATCCTGCTTTACACTAAATAACACTGCATGATCTCAGTTCCACTTGTCAGTGCCAAAATGATGCATATCTCTTACAAATGGCCAAATTCACAAGCAAAACATTTAAACCAGATAACTGTTATCGTTCTACATTTATTGCAGTTATTAAAAGATTTAACAATGCTAACATGTTTACTTACACTGAAAAGAAAGGTCAGCTACCCAGTAACAGAAGCATCTAGCTACTAGCTTAGCACTGCTGCCAGTTTGCACGGAACAGAAACTTGCTCTACAAGATTAATGGCAAAAAACCAACCAAAAGACAGTAGACACACCACTGAAGTTAGTTAAAATGTTCACTGAAGCTTGCAGTCTTCATGGAAGAGAGCCTGGAACTAAAATAACAGAAAAGAAGCTAGTAAACTTGAATCAAGGCAATATATTATCTGCACAACAAATGTTTCACATGTACAAGTATTTAAAATGTTCAAATCAGAGCTGCCTGCAAAAGCAGGTCAAAAAATAAAAGGAAATTCCTTTTTGCAAAAGGATTGCAAGGTCATCTTATGGTAAAACAAGATCAAAGTGGCAAATGGTCACACACTCGAGAGCAACACTGGAATCTCAGCACCAGGACTGCTCTGCTGAGCTCTTGTCCAAAATTAAAGTTTGGCACAAGAAAGACTGACCATATTACAGCCATCCAGGGGAGCAGATTCAGATTTTCCCAGTGTTCACCTTTATTCTCAAGGCAGCATTATGATCTAACTTGAATGGGACTGGGGAAGGATGGTACCATTTTCCACATGGATACCAGCAGTTCTCCCAGACTGGGTGAGCAGGTGTTCAGCAAAGGCACCTGGAATGCTCTGATGCCAAATGAAGTCAGAATGTTGATCTGGGGCTGAGAGAGGGGATTTCAACCTTGGGTGAAACTCCACCTCGCCCTGTGCCTTTCTGCAACATCTCCTCAAAGAATCCTTCCAAAATGTAACTGGGAGAGAAGAAGCAAACTGGATGTTTGCAGGGAAATAAAAAATGGTCACCAGCAACACTGGCAGCTTCATCACTGAAACCAAAAGGAAAGCTAAACCCTTGGAAGGGCTCTGAGGAATAAATCAGAAGCCTCCAGTACCAGTTCCAAGCTGTGACTGACAGATCTCCTTTCAAGTTTCACACTGTGGAACTGCTTATTAGGCACTGGAAAGAAAGAGGGGCAGTGCAGAACCCATCCAAACAGCAACTCAACAGCCAAGCACACACTGCCAAGCACTGGAGTTGATGATTTTTCAAGTAGCCTGTGGTCCAGAAGGTTTTAAGGACTTTCAGCATCTCCAAGCAGAGCCTATGAGGAACGTCTGGGCTCCCAGATGTCCTTAATCAAGTGTGACAACCAGACAAATTTATTTCTATTTGTAGCCTTCAGGCTTCAACTTCTTGTAAAGTAAAGGTGAAGACACATGTGATGCTGATGGAAAAACAGAACTATCAGCATATTTCTCTGCATCTGCCTTTGTGGTTTTATTCAGTAAGTGCTTCAAGGCAACTAAAACTGAGGGATCAGAAAATTACACTGCAACATGGGTTTGTTTCTTGTGGTTTCAAAGACCCATCCAGCAAAGAAAAAAAACCCCAACAACTTGCATTCATAAACTAAAAACTGGTTGTTACAAGCAAGGAAAAGTGTGTTGCTACCAAATAAAAATGAAGACACTCCCTTTCAACCAGCAGGGTTTTTAATGGAGCAAGAAGGGCATTTTGTTCTTTAAACAGCAGGCACCGGCAAGTTGGTAACTGGATAATACAATTTCTTGCTTATTTGTCAGTTGGGAACTGGAGGTGCTGCCACATTTCTGTGGGGTGCTATCAGTGCTTTTACCACAAGCTCTTTGCTCTACAAGAAGCAGGATGAAAACAGCAGCAAGGCAGCACTCACTCCTAGGAAGCAAAACATGCATCAGCTCAAGATCAACCCCACAAAGAGAACTTCAGTGAAGTAGGCTGTGGTGCTACAGCATTCAGGTGAAGATTTTGGACTTGTTTTAGAAAGGTAATCAAGAATGAGTACACTAAGAAGTGCCATCTTAAGTGCTGTCACTTTCAGTAATCCAGTCACAGATCCCTTATTGATGTGGAAGTTGGGAAAAGATGAACAATCAGACCTTGGATGTTTATTTGTGGTAACAATGTGAAATCTTTCATGTCTTCAGAACAGTTAAGTAATGCTTTTTGTTGCAGCACAGTGGATTAATCCAGTCTTCTCCTTCATTAAGTTCTGGAATAGTCCCTTAAAAGCACAAGCTTTTTGTTTTAATTCTTGGGGTTTTTCAATGAAAGAACTTCTGCAAATATTTAACAGAAACAGAACTGACTCTAAACTGATGGCCTTACAAACTGATGATCCATTTGCAGATGACTTCCATATATCTTACTTCCAAGGATTTTCTTAGTGTTTCCTGCAGACACATGGATTGCACCTGCTCATGGCTTAAACTTCTTTGAGAAGGAAATAAATCATTCAAGAATTAGTTGGAGAAGAGCTGCATATTTGTGCAAAAACCAAAAGTACACTTAAAACATGTACTGCTTGTTCATTGCAATGGAAGAAACCTCCTGAGGTTTTCAAGGAAGAGTTTAGTGTTCTCAGACTTGGATGAAATCAGTTATTCATCCTACACTTAAGGTCTAGAATTACATACAGAAGAAGCATGCAGGTAGACTCTTCTTGAAAGGGAACTGCTTTTTTGCAGGCTCCAGAAGTAGCTCAGAATGGCCCATCAGTAAAATGGAGTAAAATAAAATCTGAACTGCCTTGCAAGAAGATTGAATTTGAGAAGATTCTTGGCTTCAGAAAGGATCAAAGCCAAACCAGGCTAGTTGTGTTTTCCATGTGGCTTATTCTGGTTTTTGGTGAGCCACCTCCTCAGAGAACAAGCAAACTTGGCCCAAGAGAGAGGTAAACAGGCACTTCCGAGAACAAAGTCAGGTGTTTCTTCCTCAGAAGATGACATCCAAGCTGTTAGCTTGCACAGTTAAATACAAGACTAACTTTAATCTTGGAAAATGTTTTAATACATTAGTATTCAAGTCCACTACTAGAGAACAAAGTGTCCTTCACACTGGCATACTCTGCTGAAGCTCTTTCCCACAGCAGCCTTTGCATGTCCGTGCACTTCCTAGCGAGCCAGTCTCTTAATGTCACACCTAGGGAGTAAGATTTGGGGTAACTCAGCAGTTCAATGTAGGTCTGGACTTCCAGGTAATGCTAGGAAGCCATATACACTCATGGGAACAGTAATATTTGCTTGGTAAAGGAAGACTTAAACCACCCTGGTATTTTAATGTTTGCAGGAATTGACAAAGCAGCCGTGTCCATTGCACATACCTATTTACTTGCTCTTTTCTGCCTGTACATTTGTATCATTCTTTGACGGAAAACATCAAATGCATCTTCTTTATTTTCTTCCCCTGCAACACCCAAGCCCTCCCCTGCAGAGGTAGCACCCCTAGGGAGCAAAATGAATAGTTAGAACACTCTGTTTCTCTTACATTTGACAACTGAGCAGAAGAGATCTAAACAATAGCTTCCAACATGGACACAATGCAAGTGGGAAGTACTTTTGCTTCCTTTTTGGGAGAAGGGCCTGGGACCTGGCCTACCAGATCAACTATAAACCAGTTCCCACCTCCCATTTCACATGCAAATACCCACCAGAAGATAATGCTCCCATGATGGTAAGGGAGCAGTGAAGATCTAGTCATCTGAGAGAACAAATTATGACATGAACTCTTGTATTAGCCACCTGGATCATAGTAGAGAGGCTCCTCTGCTGAAAAGATGGCAAAAATTGCCTTGTTGCTTACAGTTCAGAAATGCCACAATCAAGGGTGTTGAGAAATTAGCAGGAAACACCACAGAACTCTGCATAAAAGGTGACATTTTTACCAAGGGAACACAATTCTGCTTGCTTAAAATTTCTAGCACCCACAGCAAGCTGAAGTCTCACAGGACACACAACATAAAAACCTGGAGCTCCTGCCCTTCCAAGAAAAACGAGTCATTAACTCATCTCTCTTCATCTCAACATGCCAACAGAAGGAGACAGGCCTCAACAACACCCAGACACCTTCCTGCCCTGGAACAGCTGGAGAGGATGACCCACAGAATGCAGAGAAACAAAGAATGAAAGCCCATCTCTTTCTCTGTGCACAGGACACAGCCCTTCCAAAGCTCAGGTTAATGAAACCTTGGCCTCTGTGTCAGTTTTATCCTCCAGGTCAGTTACAACAGTGTTGGCTGTTAAAGATTTCCTTATGGGAAGTAAGCACATTCAGATGGCCCCATGTACTGAAAGTGGGATTGCTGTGCTAACCAGGGGAAAAACCTGAGGAGCTTAAGGAGAAAAAAGAAAAGTTCTTCTTAGCCAATGTCTGTAGTAGCAGGTCCACTTAAGCCAAGCAGGTTGTTGTGCCATTCTGAAAGCACACTCACAGACTCTAAAAAGCAAATTCAACTTTACAGTCCACAGTAGAAACCCTGGGTGCTGTTTTTCTTCTGACTGGGTGAGTCTGACCTGGCAGCTTTGCTTTTTTAACCTCATGTGCCCTGTTTGAAGCAGAGTCCTCACCTGCTGTTTCCTTTAGACAGCAGCTACTTCAGGCTTCCAAACAGAAGATTTCTTCTTTCTATTTACACTCCAGCTCCTCTTCTAGATGACTTTCAGAATGAAAAAACAACTAATCAAAGACATCATGACTCAGGAGGGTCTGTCCCACAGCAATGCCCTGCCTTTGAGTTTGGACCACAGAACTGGTCAGGCTCAGAGCTGTGACAAATGAATTCTCAAGACAGTGAACAGCTCACATTGCTAAAATTAAACTGCATTTACAAATTCTGGACCCATCATTTCCAGGAGGAGCCACCATGCAATTAATACAGTAACATAAGTGACTTGCTCTCACAGCCAAAGACAAACTTTAAGCCTTCCTATAAAAAAAAAAAGAGCCTGGAGTTTCTTTGTATAAACATCAGTTTGAGATACCAGTGTAATATCAAAATCAAGATATACTCTACACTAGCATTAGAGTCTCTCCAGTTATTAATCTTTTGTTCAGTTATTAACCCTTTTGTTCAGAGCATGAGATTAGACAGCACCTGGAGTTTTAAACAAGTCATCAATAAAAGAGTTTTCAAAAGGGGAGGGAAGAGTGGAGGCTGCAGGTGACTACAGGAATCATCCCTGCACTGTGTCAAAGCCACTAACAAGAGAAAGCAGAAGGTTAAGTTGTACTGGTTTCATCCCCACTGAGACTGTCCCAAAGTCCAAGGAACGACTCTGATGGGAAAGCACATCCTGTGAAGTTCTCTCTACATTGCAAAAAGGGCCAACAAGTTTTCACAAGAGGTACAGAAAACAGTTATTCTCTGCTCTTTGTGGGTGTCTTATTTTATAAGAGTGATGCAGCAATGGACTCAAGCTGGAAAAACTGTTTTCACATATTAAAAAATGCAGTTTTAAAAGATGGCCAGAAACCTGCACGATGTGCTGGGCTACCTGTCAGACCAGAGACAATCAAACAGCTTATGATTAGTGCAGCAGATCTTGTGCCAGGAGCTACAGGAACCAAGAAAGAAAGACTCAAATTTGGTCCCAACATGTTTTAAGGTTAAAAACCAAGTTTCTAACAAGGATGAACACAAAGGTGAAGTGAGCTGCTTCCTCAGTGTCCATGTGCTGCTGAAGAAGGAAAAATAAAACACAGAGATGGGCACTGGACCACAGGGACCACTAAGGAAAAGAAAGCAGAAATATCCAAGTATCCAATCCAGAAGTATCACACCAATACAAATCACTAGGACTGCAGAAGGCACAAAGGGAATACAGAAACCCCTGCAGAAAGCAGACTGTTAAAACCCCTGGCTACATGTGTGGACTAGAAAAGCTTGTCAAATGGGTTCAGAGAGAAACAAGTAGCTTCTGCCTCCTTATTCAGTCAGGGAGTTGAAGGAGCTGTTGTTCATTCTCTGTCCTGGCAGCAGTGGACACTGGAAACAGCAACTTGGAAAGACAAACTGAAGATTCAAAACCAGAAGTTTATTTGAAAGGAGAAGGCACACTTACCTTCTGGCAGATGCACTTACCTCTTTCAGTGTGCAGTGGAATGAATCACATCATTACAGTGAAAATAAATGTGTGGCCTAAACCTCAGAATGCTGTGTATGATGTTCCCAAAGGCTGATTAGACATTATATACCTGGTGTGGTGGCAAGCAGGTTCCCAGGATAATACTGTGTGTTAAAAAAACCCTAAATACAATAAAAAAACATCTCCTGAAGAAGAAGGGCAGCCCTGTATCTTCAGAAAGTGCCCACACACTGCAGCACTCATGCTGCAGCCTTCAGAGATGTCCAACTGGATGGCAAGAACCAGCCATCTTCTTGACCAGACTGCCCAGCCTGGCCAGAACAATGTGTGAAGTCTCCATGCCCAGCTTGGCTGAAGCCAGGAAGGAAAGAAAGCATGGAGCTGGTCACATCTAGGTGGGTTAGATAAACATGGTTACTAATGGAATCCCAGAGCTGTCACACTACTTCTGTTGTGTGTTCCCATTACATACACTTTTACAGGCTCTCTGATTCCTTTTCCCCGTGTCCCAAGGCCGTGCCCTTCTTGCCAGCCCATCTTCTGAAGCATCTGGAAACCCACGTTCCTGTTTGTCAGCTTCTTGTGGGAAAACTCTAAATCTTTTGGTTTCTGTGGAGAGGAAACAACAGAAAAAAAAAAGGGGAGGTTTTGTTATACAAGGAGATCATGTAGTAAAAATCCCTCAATCCCCTCATGCCATAAACTGTGTTTGAACTTATGTATATACAGAAATATCTCCTCAGCAGCACTTCAGCAGCTACACAGAAGTCTTATCAAAAAGCAACCTGCCTTGCCACTTCACGACATAAGAACATATATTTCAGGTTCTCAGACTGTTTAATTACATTATTAAAATAGCAAAGAATACACCTGCCTATTTTAAAACGTGGTTATGCTTTTTCAATAACAAATACTGAGAGAATCCCTCATACTCAAATCACATTTCACCCATTTTAGAAAATGACAACAGATTTTCCAGGCAGCAATGCAGCCATCTCTAGGTATATTTATTTATAAGAAGACAAGATTAACACACAGCTGTTCAATAGTGCTCTAATCATAAGGTGTTTCCTTTCCACACAGGTAGTTAAGAGCCAACAGGAGGCCTGGCACTCCTCAGATTTAGCCCACTGGGTTTCAGGATCAGGCTTTTCAGGCTTTAATTCAATTTTCTGGCAAGGACACATTTTCAGAGGCTCTCTTGTAAAGACAGTTGATTTCAGAATGCAATGTCAAGCCAGAATAGTTCTTTACCTTCTTCTTCTTTGTCACTGGGCAACCACGAGGCCTATCATAAGCAATTCTGACAGGTTCATGCACTGCAAATCAAATCAATGACAAAATTCAGCTGTAAAGAGAAACAATTTGAACACAGAGCTCCAAAAGTACATCTCAGGTGGGACTCCTGACTCAATGCCTCAGCCTAAAATCAGAACCAACAAGAAAAGATCAGAATAAAAAAAGAAACAGCAAGACCTTTTTCCACCCCCCACCACAAAAAAGGTAGAGTCCATGTGTTTCCTTTTGGACAGACCATGCACATCTGATACACTAAAGGCTCTGGATCTTTTATTTCCCTGAGCTTTTGTAATGCTCTGATAGAACATTCAGGCTAGACTTAAATGAGCTTATTGTACATCATTTTCATACCACAAATGACAGCTTGCACCAATAAAAATCATGATGCAAAGAAAAGCCATTTGTTAAAGCAGCTGCTGAGCCCATAGAATCAGTTTTCAGTTATTACCTCTCACTTCTTAGAATATCATGACCCACCTCTGCTGTGCCCACACTGACAAAATCTGACAGGCCAATCCACAGCCTGACTTATGTAGTCAAACACTCCAAATATACTCAGGGCTGTACTTAGAGCTGTTAAACCTTCCACACACTGATCAAACAAACACCACAAAAACTACTAGTGGGAGCTTTTTAAGCAGCAGAGAGGATAATGGGCAAGGCACTGGCCCAGGCTGCCCAGGGAAGCTGTGGCTGCCCCATCCCTGGCAGTGTTGAAGGGCAGGCTGGATGGGGCTTGGAGCAGCCTGGGCTGGTGGGAGGTGTCCCTGCCCATGCAGGGGGTTGGAATGGATGATCTTTAAGGTCCCTTCCAACCCAAACCATTCCATGATGTTATGATATATACTTAGAGAATATTTGAGGACTGATGTTTGATGCAAACTTTGCTTTTGCACTACAGTACAAAAAGTGTTCCACAATTTGTTCAGATTCTCTGTCAGTGGACTGAGCCCTTAAAGTGAACACTGTATTCATTTCTAGATTAAAGGTGTCGTTGTTTTTGCCATTAACTGTCCATGACAAAGTCCATAAGACCCAGGAATTCTGCACTCAGACCTACAAATACCAATATCAAATACAAATATCAACAAGACCTACAAATATATTTTAATTATCACTCACCTTTTGGCTCTTCTATGAGGCAGATCCTTTTGGATGCAGGAATCATACCAACTTTCAGAGACTTGCTGCTGATTCGTTTGCGAGGAAATGGGGTACCAGGAGCAGGAGCTGGTGCCTGTGTCGACAGATTGGGTACAGCACCATCAGATGCTGTGGCCAGCTGCATTTCACCTGCTGAAATTTCCTCTCCTGTTTTGGAAACCATTTCTTCATCTAGGTTTTCCACACTTCTACCTGCTGAGATGTCATCCTCGTCTCCTTCCTCTGCGTGCTCCGTTTCCATTTCTTCCAAAGCCTGGGAGGTATCTTCCTCAAACTCAGCTTCCTCCTCATTATCTTCTTCCTCTTCTTCTTCATCCTCTTCCTCTTCTGAAACATCCAAATTTCTCTCTTCAGGCTTAGCACTTTCCCCAACATCAGCTGCTTCTGACACAGCACTGAAGTTAATGGAAGGACACAACTCATAGACTTTCATTCGGTAGAATTTGAAAGCAGAACTGTTCCGATCCTGCAGAAACCTGAGCAGAAATGACAGGGAAAATGACATCAGGAAATTTTTCTTTAGCTAGCATGAACAAGACATTAGAAACACATTTCTGAATGGTCCCTACAGGTGTGCTTTTGTAGAGTTGCTAAGATTCCCCAAGAACATGTGCTGGAAGCAGCAGTCGTTCCCCTCAGTTCTTACAGGTGCTTTTTGTCAAGCTGGTTTGTGAAGAATTTGGTAAAATTCTCTTCATTAGATGGAGAAACCCAGAGAAGATGCTCTGGGTGACCCAGGGCAAACAGCAGAGCCCAGGAGAGAATTCAGTTCTTCCAAATTTCAGTCCTGTGGTCCATGTGAAGATGGGTGCCTCGATTCCCAGAGGCAGAAGAGGTAACAGGGCCTCATTTCTGTTGGTACAGCACGATGAAAAGAGAAAACCCTCTGCTAATTCACAGAAGAGCACTTGGGCCACTGGAATCAAAGCCTCACTTAAAAAAAATAACAAGATTGAAAATGCTTTGGCAGAACAAATCAGCTTTGTTTCAAGCTGATTACTTTGGATATAAGAAAAAACCACATCAGTGCCTGTAGGTGTATGGGAGGGGTGTTTTTCTTCCTGAAGCATTTCAGATATTCCCCATGAATGGAGGTGCTGAGCAGGACAACAGGGAACACTGCTCAAAATCCTCTGATCCTAAACACAGGGAGTAAAAGCCCACATCTCAACCAACAGTGAAAGGAACTATCTCCCTAGTCATGGTTTAAATGCAGTTTGATTTTTCTTTTCAGCCCGTTTACACAGATGAACGTGGAGGTTACTCACCAAAGATCTGGGTTATCTGCACTGTTGTCTATGCTGAACTGCTCAATTTCTGGTCCTACCTGAGCAACAAACTTGGCAAGCTTCTCAGCAGTTTCCATTGTTTTAGCATCCACTGCAAGAAACAGGATGTTTGTTACCTAGAGCTTCCTACTGGAAGGGCAATACAGCTGAGATCCAGCTCCTTTAGCAAAATAAATGATTTTTTTTTAGACTCTCCAGCAGAACATTTTGTGCAATTTTCTTCTCTTATCCTTTAAAGTTTTAAATCTAATCTTGAATTTTCACTTACCATCAGGAAACTGAGAGGACAATGGCTGGAAAAGTTCAGGTGGTGCTAAGAAATCCTCGGAATCTGCCCTTTCTTCTGCTGGCAGAGACACCTCTGCACTGGTGGCACCCTGTGAGGATGAGGTGCTATCAAGGGCAGAGCTCTTCTCAGCCAGGCTGGTTTCTGCAGAAGGCTTTGACTGGACTGAACCTTGGAGATGTTTGTCTTGGTGCTTCAGCACTGTCCCAGCTGAGAGCACAGTCTGTGTCCCTGTGGTTGCTCTCCTCACCTTCCTTCCTCGAATGCCACGTTGTGTGATAATCCCAAGCCTTTTTCTTTTGAACAGTCTTCTCTTGATACTGGCAACTTTCCTGGCATACAACATGGCCCTGACTGATTCTGTGGCAGCTTCTAGTGTTGTGCCCTCACCCCCTGCTTCCTTCCCAGCTGCTGTTCTCCTCTGCACCTCTGACAGCTTCAGCCTGTAATACTTGTATTCCAGACTGTCTTCATCAGACAAGAACCTAAATAAAATCATAGAAATAAAAGTAAATGAAAGCACAACTCACCTCAGACACTCAGTAGACATCAATCCTTTCTTCCTGGGCTGTGCAAAAGTTGCTGCATTAACATCAGCCTGTGCAGACCAACAGCCACCTCCAGCAGGAAAAGTATTGCCAAGCAAATAATTGATGGTTTCAACATAAATCATTTGTCTAGTAATTAATTAGCTATGGTGCAATTCACACATCAAGAGATACTGTCATATTAAAAGGTCATTACACTTGGAAGTGTCTCAGCTTTCCAACATCACTCATAGGACACCAGATCCCAAAGTTTGGTACCTTTCTGTGTGTATATATTAACTACATTTGCTTATTATCTTCATCCTGTAAATTGCTTTTAACATCTTGTATTTGGATTGACATGGTCATTATTGACAAAGCAAATGGAACATGATCTACTAGACAAAACAGAAGCAACAGGACAATTTCCAGGGATATCAGGAAGTACAATAAGCTGAGGAAACACCTTCGGAAAGGCTGATTAAATATCCAATAGGCTTTGGATTCACCCAGTGAATGAAATACTGCATCTAATTAAATATATTACAAATATCTTCACCAGGGAGTAGCATTCTGACATGCTGTTCAAACACACCTACCAATATTCAGGGCAGTTCTTTTGGGCATTCCTCTCTTTGGCAGACAAGGTTCCTGAAACAATGTTGTTCACCAGCTGCTCAATTGTCTCCACAACCTTCCGATCAGCTCGTTGTGGGGCTGCAGGAGGACATGAAATCCAGTCAGTGCTTTTATTGTTCTCATCAACAGAGTATCCATGTGCCAGCTTTTTTATTTTTTGGCACACTGGCATGTGCAGTTTTTCAACATACTACTAATAAAAACCAAAAGGTTCACTTAATACTAGAATAATTTAAGGAAGCCTCAGAAACTTTCTGACTGTTTTCTCAGCTCAGTTTGGATTCTAGAATAGTTTGTTATGAGAAGTGGGTGAAGAAAATTACCATTTGCCATCCTGGGCAAGTGAAGCCATCCTTTAAAGGGCAAATACTCATTGCCCCAAAAGAATTTTGTGCAAAATCAGTACACCTGGACAGCACTCTGAGGGAGTGAGATCCAGATTATCAGCCATTCTTGTCAGACCTCTGAAGTCCAATTAGGAAAAACAGATGAGCAGACTAATGAGTAAGGACATGTTAGAGAGGATGAACTGGATGGCCTGAGACAGCAGAGGACAGACTTGTTCCTGTAGATGGTGGTATTTCAACAACTTCAAAGAAATACACCTGCATCTGCTAAAAGCAGGGAAGGCAACATCCCTGACTGTGCCCAGGTGTGAATACTTGTTCTGTGACACAGGCAGTTCCAGCTGGGGTCCTGGCCCCTTCCCTGGAGTTGTGCAGCTGGGGCAGCCCAGGGCACAGGGAGAAAAGCCTCCATTTCAAGGATAAGAATGTGCAGAAGGGGAGTGAGGAGAAGGCAGGGGAGTGAGGAGACATGCTTTCATCCACAGAGCTGAAAATGGTATAGTATTTACTAGTATTTAGTAAATAGTATTTACTACCTGCCTCAATGCTGCTAATATTTTACATGGAATTCCCAGAATTAGTAAATCCTGACCTTAACCATAACAATTAAGCTAAAATGCCAGTGACAAATAAATTCTCTACTGCAAAGTATCCTACAACAGCTCACTCACTTTTACCTTTTGTGTCAGGAGTGGGTTTTTTCAGCTGTTCTGTGGACTCTGGTTCAGCTGTTTTCATCTGAATTGGATATCCACTCTTCTCCAACCAAGCCTTCAGGTTTTCAATGTACTCTCTCCCAAACAAGGTTGAATCATCAAAGTTTGGGAACAGTGTCGGTGCTGGGGCCATTTCCTGGAGCCCTACAGCTTCAAGGATTTTCTCTTGCCTAAAAACAGAGGCCAGGGCAAAGGTCTGCCCCAGAAGTGCTAAAGATTTACGACAGAGAGAAACAGTGGTCTCAAAAGCAGTTGCCATTTCTCTTGGGTTCCCAAACCCACTGGTTTTGACACTCAGCTCGTAGGCATTGCAGGCCATGAGCAGGGGGGTGACACCTTTCAGGAGCCGGTCTTGGAGCCTCATGATGTATTTATCAAAAGGTTTTATGATTTCAAAGAAGCAGTTCTTTGTTTTCACAGCACCCTTGTCCAACAGCATGTTTAAAAACTCGTTGTCCACTTTGGGGGTTTTCAGAGCAGCGTGTTGTAAACTCTTGATAGTGAAGAAACAATAATCTCTGTGTTCTGGCTTTAAGGAGCATTTGAAGGAAGCCAGCATTTTTGCACAGGTTTCTGTCTCTAGCTCAAAGAGGGCCCTAAAGAGCCGGGAAAATTCTGCATCATTTTTGATGGCGTGAAACCCAGCCCATTTTATAATTTCTATTCCAAAGGTTGAAAAAATGTCTGATTTATCCACCAGGTCGAAGCTGAGATTCCTGAAAAAGTGTGCAGGCTTTCGGAGCTTGAGGAGAGGCCTCTGGGTTATCAGAGCTGGTCTCTGATTAGGTCGTGGTGGCAACTTTTGGTTGGGGTGCTGGGCGCTCCCCGGCCTGGGGTCGGGTTGTTCCATGGATTCTGTGGTGGGATCAGGTTGCAGAGCTGGCTTCTGCTCAGGGCCTGGGGGCAGTTTTTTCATGTTCCATTTCTTCAGGGGAGTTTTGAGGTCTCCTTTGAATACTTTGGTTTTAACAGCACCCCTCACAAGATGCTTTCCCCGCAGAGCTCTTCCCCTGCCAAGGCTGCCCCTCCGTCCCAGGGGTCGGAACTCACTGTCAGACTGAATTCCAAACTCCACATCGTACTCCTGGTTCTCCATGTTGCCATATTCATCTTCCATCAGTCCCGGTGATCTAAAATCCCCTAAAATATCTGAAGAACTAAAGTCAGTTTCATGTGGTCCAGCAGATTCCCAAGAGTCAGGAGGGCCATAGTCCTGCTCATGAGGAGCCAGGCCCCCGTATTCCCGGTCGTGGGAAGTCGGGCGCCCGTACTCCCGGTTGTGAGGGGCTGGATGCCCATAATCCCTGTTGTGGGAAGCTGGACGCCCATAGTCCCTGTCACGAGAGGCCAGGCGGCCAAAGTCCCTGTCACGAGGGGCCAGGCGGCCGTACTGTTCATGGTAATAGTTGTCCTTCCTCAGGAGGGGACTCGTGGATCTGTAAGAAGGTCCTGGGTAATCATCTCTGGGGTCTTCGCTCCAGTCATCATGGGGGTGGTACTGGGCGTTGTCATGAGTGTATCTCCCATCATCATGATAACTGTCTTCATATCTTGGCCTTGGGACTGGCCTTGAATGAGCTGTAATGATAAAGACATCAACACACCAATGCTCTGCAAGTGGCATCTCAGAATCATGGAATGGTTTGGAAGGGACCTTCAAGATCATCCAGTCCCACCCCCTGCATGGGCAGGGACACCTCCCACCAGCCCAGGCTGCTCCAAGCCCCATCCAACCTGCCCTTCAACACTGCCAGGGATGGACAAGAATTCATGAAGAAAAAGCTTTAATGAACATATTTAGACACAAGAGTCAACACATCAAAACTTGTGAAGGACAACACAGGGCTCTAGCTTTAGGACATTCCCATTTGCTTTCTTACACACACTGAATAATTCAACCAATTATTAACAACACCTGAACACACAGGACAAAACAGTTAAAACTTCTCCCACTAAAGCTGAGATGCTAGCTCTGCTATAAACTCCCATTTTCTGTTTGCTCACAACTTTTTCAGCCTGGAAGATGCTGCTGTTGTGCTCCTAATCCTTCCACTTGGGTTTCTCAGATGTAAAAATATCTGGCCCCACACTGGATGTCAGAATTCCCCAGCTGGACAGACCATATCTTTTACAAACTCACACACAATTATCTAAGAGAAGATTAAAGCCAGAAATACTAGAATTTCCTGCAAAGCCTCCAGAATTCCCTATTCCAGTTCTTAAATTCAGAAAGTAAAGAATACTTGAACATTTCTTGTATTTAAAAGAAATTATTTATTTGGAGCTTACACACCTTCAGAACAGAAAATACTTAATTCTAAAACTCTCAATTCTTTTTTTTACAAACAATCAAGGTTTTTTTTTCTAGACATTTTAAATGTCAAATGTAGATTATTAAAGAATCTGCAGGTCATGTTGTGTGAATGTTCACTACATTCATGTCCTGCTTTTAGCTTCTTCTGCAAAAATAACATGAAATACAAAGACCCAAAGGCTCCAAATGCACTCCTGTATTTATTTAACTTATCAGACACCAACAGAATTCCATCCTGCAGCAACGTCTCCAGAGACCTCCCTGTAATTGGACCCACTCTCAGATGCAGCCTGAACAGAATTCCTTTGTTTGAAATTCGGGTTTTTGCCTGAAATTCGCACTCAGTGTCAGTCATACCAACCTATTAGCCTCTTAAATAAAAATGGATGTGGAAAAACACCAGAACAAGTCCATGTTTCAAGCACACACACGCTAATGGAAGGCAAGAAACCAACCATGGCTGGTACCGGAATAACGGGTACAACGCACAGCTTGTCATGCCCACGGTTCGTTACCTTTAAAATGATGGATCGTGTCCTGCCCAGCATCACCCCGCTCCATGCGATACCTTTTAACTTTGTCCTGCACGACAGCATCAAACGTTTCCCGTGTGATCCGCCGAGAGGCCATTTTTATCCTGGAGCAAGAACAGCACAATGCGGGGCCGGGAGGGTCCCCGGATCCCCCCACCCC